GACTGAGCTAAATCCCCAGCCCCCAGCATTTTAGTTTTAAAGAACTACGTCCATCTGACTTTTTTTAAGTTTCTTACTAATGTAGCTTCATCCCAGAATTTTTCAAGAAAGGTCCTAATCTTAATGGCTTCCTTGAGCCCAGAGAACTGCCACTCAAAATAATATGGAACAATAATGGCTTATTATTGAACATACCTGTGAAATATGTATAAACTGGATTTACAAACTGTTTAAACTGGACCAGGTTGGGTATTGAAGTAACCCATCAAAATGTACACTGCCGTGATTCTGTTTAATGTTCAAATTCAGTAACTAAAATATGTGCTTTATGTTCTGCTCACAAAGCAAATGGAGAAGGAGGCTGTGTGTATTGGAGTAAGGTTTATTGATTTGTGTTAAGACCCTCTTCTGACTAGGAAGGATAGAACTTGGGCTGTGTGTGTGTGTGTGTGTGTGTGTGTGTGTGTGTGTGTGTTGAGCCTCTCTAGGAATTTGCTTTTGTCTTCTAAATAGTTTTCTGAATGTATTATGACTTCATTAACAGAAAATACACATGGTGTTTACTAGACTTGTTTACTATATTGAAATTTCCTTTTTATTCTTAGTAGCCCAGGTTCTTGAGTTTTTCAGAACAGATTTTTTCTAAGCTAAGGTATAGTTTCAGGAAGAAGAGTAAAAGTAAGCCAGAATTTTTTGTGTGAAAGGACAGTTGCCTATCCAGGTCTTTTTGTGTCTTATCAGAAGGTGGGAATATGGTCCAAATAAATCCATTAGGTTACTCCTGTAGCATGCGCTTTAGCTTCTCTCTTGACTGCATATCAAAATTCCTTTGTGAGCTGGTCTGCAGCTCCTTTGTTTTATATGTATAAACTTCAGATGTTAACTACATTTTATATCTGCCAGAGCTCTTCAAGCAATAGTGTTTGAACCACTAGTCTATAAATAAAATTCTGCCCTATTGCCAGTGTGCAGATATTGAGTCCACTGTTATTTCTTGCCAGATATCTTTGCAGTGCTTTAGGCAAAACGTGTTAATCTGTTCTTTGAGTGACATCCCAGTTTGCTTTAATGACAGAATTTACTGCTAAGTCTTTTCCTTTTTAAAAATATCTACATTTAGTGCACTGTCTACGTGAAATGTCCTTGTTATTGTGGAGGGGCCAACCTTTCAGGCAGCTAGCCTATTCCTTTCCTGGCAGATTTTAATCCTTTTGCCTACCATTCCTACTACAGGGCAGGCAGTGACAGAACTATTAAGGTCTCTATGGTCCTATCTCAAAAGTGGTAGATTGAGGGAAGATACACTGCCAAGGGCTGTCTAATGCAGGTGGTTTTGCTGCCCACACATTATAGATTGTGGTAGGTAAGTTCTCTGGCTACCACATTGGCTCTGTTTGAACTTTTGAGGACATCTGCCTAAACCTGAATGTTTGTCAAAAACCTTAACCCAGCAAAACAAATAGTGAGTAGCTTATGCCCTGTTAAGAATTGTAACGTCGGGGCCGGGGACTTGGCTCAGTGGTTTTGCCACCTGCTGCGCAAGCGCAAGGACCCGAGTTCGATCCCCGGTACCAAAAAAAAAAAAAAGAATTGTAACGTTAGTTGTTTAAAAACAAATCCCAACTTTTAATTTTTTAACCTAGTCACTGTTTACAGTTGTATGCTAATGCCTGAGTTACTGTCTGTGCTGTGGTGTATGAACATTGCCAATCTTCTATTTATTGCAGTGAAGAAGAAACTAAAAATATACAAAAAGGAGGAGCATGTCCAGGCTCCTGAATCTGTGTGGGTGCATGTGGGAGCAGTGAGTGAGACCTCTTGAAAGGAGGCTTTTTGGGAAGAGGCCCCAGGCTCCCCCGTGGTATTTGCCTTGGGGAATCACTACTGCTGGCTGGCTGAACCTTCCCAAGAGGAGCTTGTGAGACTGCTTTGGCAAAGTTTCCTTGACTAGTAGAACTCATCTGTTTTAGTGCATATTTCAATATAAATGTCAACATTTCACTCAAATTTGTTGATGTCTTTGTTTCTTTTATCAGTTTAGATTCCAGTAGAAAGGATGACTTTTTTTTTTCTTGCCTTATCTTAAGCAGATGGGATACTTGAATCAGCTTGCTGCCTTTCTGTGCAATTGAATGTCCCAAGCCAACTTTTATCAAGTCTTGTGGGAGGTGAGGGCAGGATGGTTGAATGGGGTAAGGAGGTATAAGGAATCCTGGGTAGATAAAGGGGAAAGTTGTCAAATGAAATGTTTTAGATTGCTCAAGAGTATCTGCAGTTGATGTTTATACTGTAAACTGACTTACTGCTTTTCAATAAGTTCAGTGGTGAGAATTTGTGCACATAAAATATCCTAACTTTCATTGTTTTTTCATTCCTCACACTAACAGTCATTGGTTTTGTGTTGTGTGTGGGTTATTTTTTTTTAACCTTGGAAATTCTCTCCACTATTGCCCCCAGCTTTAACTTGATCCCTCAAACAATTTGCACTGTTCTGAGCTCATATGTCATCTAGGTTAAAAAAAAAAAAAAAAGCCCCAGCAGGCATGGTGGCATTGTGGCACATGCCTGTAATATCAGCACTCTGCAGGGGTGAGGCAAGAGGATTGCAAGTTTGAGTCCAGCCTGGGCAGCTTAACAGTTTAGTGAGACCTTGTCTCAAAAAATAAAAAAAGCTAGATGGTAGCTCAGTGTAAAGTTAAATCCCCATAGCTGCAAAATAAATAATTAAAAAGTCTCGGGATATATTCTGTTAATCCTTAGTGCTTTATGTATTTATGTAGGTGCATCCCTATTTTAGTATTGACTAAGGGGCCCAGGGTCTAGGTATTACATATTGCCCAAGGGGTCAGTTGTAATATGGTTGTTGTAGGATTGGAACACAGCTTTTAACTGACTTCAAGAGTCCTTGCCCTTGCCACTAATTCAACCTGAGGCATCTTTTTGGCTCTAGATTTTGATGTGCTGAATTCATAACATCCCTAGGTTGCCTTTCAGTTGAAGGTCCTGGAATGAGACTGGGAGGTTTTTTTTTTTGTTTTTTTTTTTGATACTGGGAATTGAACTCAGGAACTCATGTTTGCCGGGCACAGGCAGTGCCGCTGAGCAACATTCCCAGCCCATTCCTGGAATGAAATGACAGTCTTTCCACTTGAAACAACCAACAGCTTCTTTTGGTCTTTTTGCATCCATTATACTCTAAATTCTATCTTCTATGTGGCTACAAGAATTATTAGATTTATTTAAAATGTGGGCTGGGGATTTAGCTCAGTGGCGCCGTGCCTGCCTCACAAGTGCAAGGTCCTGAGTGATCCCCCGTACTGGATAAATAAAATGCATTGTCTGGCCATTTCCCTCATTGTCCTCCTTTCTGAATTATGAGCTGAAGGAGGACTCGGGATGTAGCCTGATGATAGAGCTCATGCTCAATATATAAATACCTTAAGAAAACATGGAGGTTTAAGAACTGCCAAAATACACTGCAAGAAGCTGGTTGTGATGGTGTACTATAATCTCAGCACTTGGGAGGCTGAGGCAGGAGAATCACCACAAGTTTGAGGCCAACCTGGACTACATAGTGAGTTCAGGGCCAGCCCAAACTACATAACACCCTGTCTCAAAAACAAAACTACATTTCAGAAAGATTACAGTAGATAGGAATATCCAAGCATGGTGGCATAAGCTTGTAATTCCAGCACTCTGGGATGCTGAGGCAGAAGGATTGCAAGTTCAAACTTAGCCTCAGCAAGTTAATGAGACCCCCGTTTTTCTTAAATTTTATTAGTACAGGTTTGCATTACAGAATGATCATCGTGAGGAGATGATGCGTATATAACCTTTTTTTTATATATAACGTTCTTTTTAAGCTCCATCTGTGAGA